AAAAAAAAAAAAAAAAAAAAAAAAAGAGAAGAAAAACAAATGGAATTACAGAGATGAAGAAAAAAAAATGAAAGAAAAAAAGAAATGAAAGAAAAATAAGGAAGAAGAAAGGAAAATATATAACGGAGGAAATGGAAAAAAATATGCTGGCCTGTGCGTGAAGTTCTATTCTTCGTATAGGGAGTCTCCGACGCGGAGAGGAAACATCGTTACATCGTGTTTCGTCGCTCGACATTGAATTAACAGAAATCGCTGATATCCGTCCCTACGCGAGCGCAGTAGCATCTACCGGCTACATCGACGTAACTTAATATGTAACAGGGAATTCTTAATCCAACCCTTAAGTGCTAAATCAATCTTACAATTGGACTGAGTGATAAATTATTATCGACTGTACAATGCCGTAAAAGTCTTCTTTTCTTCATCAACTTTTTCATCATATTTTTTTCTTCATTTTCAACATTATTTTCATATTTAATTTCTTTCAACTTTACAACGAAAATAAAAAGAAATTGTACATCTCCGCTTGTTGCTTGGAATTTTCATAGAATTACTACAAATTTTTCGAGTTATTTTTCGTTCATTTTCATTCGTTTTATTTGGACCACGTTAATAAATTTCCATTTTTTATTAAAACTTTTTTTAGCTTTTATTTTTCATTATAAAACATACTTCCTGTTGATCGCAAAATGATATGCCGTGGAACACGTGCATGCATGATCTCGAGGAAGTATACGCGTATCGATTAAACAAGTGATAAAATGATGTTGAATTTAATTACGAATACCTTGAATTTAATTAAGAATACGTTGTTTATATTTTATTAATTAAAATTTAACAATGCAGAAAAATTCGAGTATTCGTTAAAATAGTGCTATTAAAAAAGATTATCTTAAATGTTATAAAAACTAAAAGAAATTATAAGAAAAATAAATTATTAAATAATGTATCAATAGGTATTCGCAGAATCATTATAACTTATCATCGAATCACATGTTATACCGATACGTTCCACAGCCGAGTTTTTTTCACTACTCGAAGAAAGAAAAATAAAAGAAAATTTATTTCCTTCTCTCTTTTTCATTGACAATATACAATCGTTTATTTAAATCACATGAATCTTAATAAGTACCAAATGCCTAATGTACAGTTCGAGATACCCTGAACACTACCCACGTTAAGGTAGAGGAAAGAAACTCTGTTATCGAGTTCTGCGTATACATTTCTCCATTTTTTTATACCATTATTTTTTCTTCTCTGCCTCTCGATCACGAACTTTGAAATAAATATTGTGAATATCATGAACAGCAAAAGTTCGGCTCAGATGCAGATGCGAAGCGGGAGATTGCAAATGGCAAGTTTCTTAATTTTTTTTCAAATTTTCGCTTTAGGTTTTGTTTATACACAAGGACGTATCTTACAGAGTAAAGATAAAATTTTTCTGTTTCTTCGAAGTTGTTTAGACCATTAGCCGCCAGAGGGAGCCACAGAATATTTTATATCTTCATTGACGATCTCCTTTGATCGTTAATCTGTAACAAAAATATAAGAAAACAATTGTGAAAAACTTATAAAGATTATATTTTTTTCTTTATGATAAATACGATCGTAATTTTAAATTTACCAAAAGGAAATTGCTGTTTATCTCTCGACATCATTAAAAATATATATAAAATCTTTTAAAAGCATATCGTTAGGAAAAGCTAAACTGTGTGCGTACACTCGTTAATTCATTGTTTCCATTAAATTATTTTTAACGCTGCCATACAAAAGCAGTGAAAAGAACTTTAACTTCTTGTAGGTAAATTCTTTTATCAACTTCTTACAAAGAAAAAAGGCGCGGAACTTTTAACGATTTAAATAGCCATGTTTCCAGCTACCTATTCTTTCATTTTAACCAAATTAACTTGTATTATGTATCAAACGCTTTTATGATTCTAAAAAATTCAATACAAAAGTATTCTTTATCACT